AGAATAGTACCTCTTTAAAGACTAGCTGCTCCTGCTCACATTCAGCAAAAGTGCCCATTCCCCTGGGCATAACAAATGATGAACATTTATTTTTTTTTAAATCTTTATTGTTGGAAGTATTACATATGTCCCCTCTCCGTCCCTCCCCCCCCCCCTTATCTCCTTCTACCTCATCCCCATCCCCTGCCCCAGGCCTTTACCACCCTATTGTCTGTGTCCATGGGTTATGCATATATGCATACAAGTTCTTTGGTTGACCTCTTCCCACTCACCCACCTGACTTCCCTCTGAGATTTGACAGTCTGTTCATGCTTCTGTGTCTCTGGATCTAGTTTGTTCATTAGTTTATTGTGTACATTAGATTCCACAGAAAAGTGAGATCATGTGTTATCCGTCTTTCTCTGATTGGCTTATTTTGCTTAGCATAATACTCTCCAGGTCTCTCCATGCTTTCTCACAGGTTAAGAGATCCCTCATTTTTACTGTGGCATAGTATTCCACCGTGTAGATGTACCACAGCTTTCTTATCCACTCATCTACTGATGTGCAGTTGGGCTGTTTCCAGATCTTAGCTATTGTAAATTGCACTGCTATGAACATAGAAGTGCATACATTCTTTCTGATTGCTGTTTCAGATTTCTTAGGATATATTCTTAGGGGTGGGGTCAAATGTTGCAACCATTATGAAAAACAATATGGAGTTTCCTCAAATTATGAACATTTAAGCTCAAATGCTACACTGTGACTCAATCTTCTTTAAAAACCTCAGGGGGTTAAGACACGGCATTGCATATCCTATCTAATAAAGTGCAAATATGCTTACTTACCCTCATGCTGTTGCAAAGATAATTGTGACCACAGTCAATAAGGAGGGAATATGCAAATTGACTTCCCTGCCCTCAAAGATGGCAGTGCCCACAGCCACAAGATGGCAATGCCCAGTGCCACCCAAGGCTCAGGTGACTAAGGCCAGTGGAGGCTTGCACTGCCAGCAGTGGCAGCACCAGAGGTGTGATGAGGCATTGCCTTCCCCTGATGGCTGGGTTGCCTCTGTCCTCTGAAGCCTCCCAGACTGTGAGTGGGGGAAGGCCTATCTAAGGGACCCCCCTCCTCCAGTGCATAAATTTTCATGCACTGGCCTCTAGGAATCAAATAAAAAAGCAAGCAGTCAGATCTGGTTTTAACTGGTATCTCTGCAATTAACAAATAATATGGATTTTGCAAGTTACTTAACCTTTTGGTGTCTCTATTTCTTCATTGAAAATATGGAGAAGAAAGTTATCTCATGATATTTTTGTTACAATCATACAAAATAAGTCTGTAAAGGGCACAATGCCTGGCATAGGGTTGGCTCTAAGGAAGGAAGGAAGGAAGGAAGGAAGGAAGGAAGGAAGGAAGGAAGGAAGAAAGAAAGAAAGAAAGAAAGAAAGAAAGAAAGAAAGAAAGAAAGAAAGAAAGAAAGAAAGAAAGAAAGAAAGAAAGAAACTGTTGTCATTTGCATGCTTGAATAGAGACAGGTAACCAATATTTATCAGGTAAATCAATCTCTATGACATTTTATAAAACCACCCAAATTCCTTTTCTGAAATATTCCATTACAGAGGAAGGATTATTCCTCTTGCACACAAGATGTCAGTTTTGCCTGGCCACTATGACTCACTTGATTGGAGCATTGTCCAAACACACCCAAAGGTAGCAGTTCAATTCTTGTCAGAGCACATACGTAGGTTGCAGTTCTATCCCTGGTCAGGGTATATATAATCTACCAAGGTTTCCCTCTCCCTCTCTCTCTAATAATAATAATAATAATAATAATAATAATAATAATAAAACATATTTTCAGGTGAAGATTAAAATATTTTTTAATATATTGGTTTTAAGTTATTTATTTTTCCAAATCAATAAATCAAATGACCCTGGGAGCCAATCAATTTGACTTATAAATAAGCTAGCATCATGGATTTTTTTATTTGTTATTTTTCTCTATTGCAGCATAAAACATTAACAACTGTTCAGTTTAGCATGAAATAGTGGCCTTTGTGAAACCCCCTAAATTTCTGTGGTTCCCATCTAGCATACCCCCACAAATGAGACCTTGAGATCCACCAAATACTGGAGACCTCATTGTATCCTCATACCTTGGATTTTGAGCCAGAGGGTCACTGTCCTCTGATGATTATCTTTAGTTACTAAACAATTGCATTTCCTGGATAGATTTCCTTTATCAGAAGTGAATTACTCTCTTGTTAAAATGCTCCCCAGCATTTCTGGGGACTGATATTAGGCAGAAAACTCTTTCCATTCATATAGACTTCTTGGAATTGGAACATACTATTGAATTTTTTTCAAACCACAAAATTAACATGCCATTGAATACAGTATATAAACAGGCACAAAGATAGACAGTCCATCATCCACTTAGCTCCTCTTTCACTTCTTGTCCTCCACTTTGGAAAAAAAGGTAAGACTTTCAGATATACAGTTGCTGTATCTTCTCTTTAGTTTATTTCAACTTGATTGAGATATACGAAGAAAGTAATTTTTTAAGTGTAGTCTTTGAAATAAAAGTATTTGAAGTAATAGTGACAATATTTTCAACACTTAGGTTATAAAAAGTAGAAATGCCTATACATATTTGTTAGAAATTTTAATGACCATGTAAGCTTTATATGGACAGAAGAAAGTAGAAATCGTGGTTAATATGTATATATTTTTAGTGTAAGGCTAGTAAACAAGCTATATTAAAATATCTGATTCCTAAATTAAATAAGACTTCTAATTAGATTAAACATATCACAGTCATAAAAGCAATATATATAAATTATTATAAGGAAATATGAATAATTATTAGGAAAGCTTTATTTACTACATGGTAGATTGAGTTAGGATATTGTGAGAGTTCTTTTGGAACATGTAACTTGAAATGCTTATAAATAATTTTTTTAGAAGAGTATATTCACCAAATTGTTTACAAGATGCAACATCCTACTTTATTTTTTATTATTATTTTTTAAAATATATTTTATTGATTTTGTACAGATAGGAAGGGAGAGAGATAGAGAGTTAGAAACATCGATGAGAGAGAGTCATCGATCAGCTGCCTCTTGCACACCCCCTACTGGGGATATGCCCGCAACCAAGGTACATGCTCTTGACCGGAATCGAACCCGGGACTTTTCAGTCCCCAAGCCGATGCTCTATCCATTGAGACAAACCGGTTTCGGCCCTACTTTATTTTTCAAATTATATTTCAAAATAATATTAAAATAGACACATGAAATTAAGTAAAAAATAAATTTAGCTAAAAAGAAACTTACTTTGTAAGAAAAATTCTGCAAGTGCTAGAAATAACTTGAAAATAAAAAAGTAATTTTAAAAGAGTACCTTATATTATTATTCAATTGTAAAGTTCTGGTTTAAAAATTTTAATTATAAAATATAGAAAAGACATTGGATCTTCCCTACTCATAATAATCTCTAATTTAGTTGAATATACATTGAGACCTGACAATAAAAAATTAATTAGAGACACATGGAGCTCTTAAACAGAGTAAAATTAATAAATAAATAGTATCCATAAGAAATCTAGAAAACATATTTCCCTAATAAAGTGAAATATTTTCAGCTTTAAAAATTACAAAGGATATTTTACAGATAAAGTAGGAATGTTTTTAATTAAATATTTGTAGTTGAGAAATTTAGTTTATAAATCTAGTATTGAAGATTGTATGTCAAAGTATATTGGTGGCACGAACATTTTTTACAAGAAATTATAAAGATGGAACAAAATCAAGCATTTAGTACATTTCAGTCAAAAGTGTTAACTTAAATTTTATGATATGCTATGATAAGAAGTAGCCTGCAGTGAGGACTAGGCAAGAGAACCTGATCCTTTGGTAAGCCATCAAGAGATCAGTGTAAAAAGAAGAGGAATAGTGTATGATCTCTATATGGAGTAAAAGAGACGAGACATCATGAGGTGTGTGGGGATGAAGACTGTGTAGTGAGTACACATGAAGAAAAATGGTTGTGTCAAAAATGTGGTTAAATGGGGCAAATAATGAAATGCTAAAAAAGAAATAAATAAATAAATCCCAGTCTCATAAGAAACTAGAGGCTCAGTGCACAAAACTTGTGCATTCAGGGGGGTCCCTAAGCCCAGCCTGCACCCTCTCAGAGTCCAGGAGCTCTTGGGGGATGTCTGACTGATGGCTTAGGCCCACTCCCCTAAGCCATCAATTGGACATCCTTAGCTTCTGCCACCACCACTGTGATCACCAGCCATGAGCCCTGCTCAGGGCTTCCCCTGTGGGAGCACACTAACCACCAGAAGGAAGCTCCTAAATTAAGCGTCTGCCCCCAGGTGGTCAAAGTGCATCATAGTGACCAGTCATTCTGTCTTGGTTGATTTGCATATTAGCCTTTTATTATATAGGATAAGAAACTATGATTAAATCAAATATTCATGAAAACTGTTTAGTAAAAAAAATGATAAAATAAAATATGATCTTCTATCAGTCTTTAACAAGTCTGTTCCAAATAAGTCTGAAGATACATCAGTGTGGAGACTTTAATATTTAGTTTACTGCTATAAACCCACACCCTGGGCAGTATCAGGCAATCAAGGGTGCTAAATAAATATTATCATTTTTAAATAAGTGAATCAATTAATAAAATTCATATAAATATTTAAAACTGCCTTCAGAAAAAAACACACCAACATTTGGTACTGTGAATAAGAAAAGGATTGAGGTCGGGCAGAGGTGATAGCTGAAAAGCCTGAATGGCTGGAATTGAAATATAAAATTGATACGTAAGACTAAAAAGCCATAGAAGATATTGATTTCGGTTATATAATAAGCTTCTATTATTATTTTTTTCTAAAATTAAGACATTTAATTATCTTTGTTTCCTTAAAAAAAAGTAACCCTACCGAATTAAGAAAATATTTTAGATTGACAACCATAATACCGTTTTCTCACTCACAGGACTTGAAAGCCATGAAGGTCCTCATCCTTGCCTGCCTCGTGGCCTTTGCTCTTGCAAAGGAGGTGAGAAAAATCTATGAACGACTAACATACAGTGAATTCTTTTTTATGTGTTGATCACATCACCAATATTTTAATTTTACAAATAAAGCAGAATTTCAACAGTTGTTTTCTATACTTTTAAGAAAATCATCTATATTCCCTCACTATTTCAATCGTGTCTTATAGGGTTGCAAATTGGGTTAAATACTTTCCCACCAGAAAAACAAACAAACAAACAAACAAACAAATAAGCCACAGACAAAACAAGACACAAACATCAAATCAAAAAGAGTAATATTGCACAAAATTTATCTTGCTTTCATGTGCAACCTAGATATATATATATCTTATTACAGTAATGAAACTGATGATGAAAATTAGGGCATGGGCCAAATCCTACCTGTGTCTACCCAAAGAAATCCAGAGGCTGGAAAACAAGGCAATAATAATCATCATAATCATAAATGTTTTTGCAATCAGAATAAAAAGTGATACAAATTCAAATAACTCTCATTCTGTTACCCATCAAAAATTGTTCTTCATTTAGGTAAAATAAGAATATACAATTAGAATTATCAAATATAAAAGACATAAAACACAATTACCTTTTAAGGCTCTCAAAAGACATACATTTTTTTTATTTCTTAAATTTGTGGAGATAGTTCTGTATAAAGAAGGTAAAAAGTAAGTAGGAAAAATAAGATAGCTCTAGAAACTAAGTGGTGATTTTTTTTCTTTACAGAAGGAACAAATCAGTGTAACCAAAGAGGTAAGATGTTTTATTCAGAGAACATTTTTTTCTAACCAGCATTAGTAATATTCTGCCCTAGCTGGTGTGGCTTAGTTGGTTGCAGCTTCCTATACACCAAAAGGTTGCAGGTTCGATCCCTGGTGGCAGTAGGCAAAGACAACCAATAGATGCTTCTCTGTCACCTCTCTCTCTCTCTCGCTCCCTCTGTATCTGAAATCAATAAAAGCCCTGGCCAGTTTGGTTCAGTGGATAAAGCAGTGACCTGTGGACCAAAGGGTCCTGGGTTTGATTCCCGTCAATGGCACATACCTCAGTTGCAGGCTTCTCCCCAGCCTGGGCCCTGGTCAGAGTGTGTGCTGGAGGCAACCAAACAATGTGTTTCTCTCACATCGATGTTTCTCTCTGTCTTTCCCTCTCTCTAAAAATAACTGGAAAAATATCTTCCGGTGATGGTTAATAATAATAATATCAATGAGAGATTTCTTAAAAAAAAAAACAACTAACAGTCTTTGATGATCCAGTTGTTGATTTTGTATTTTTATTTACAGACTGTAGAAAGCAGTTCTAGCAGTGAGGTAAGACAATGTTCATTCTGAGGGAATTTTCCATTTTGGACAGTAAGATGCTAGAAACTCTTTATATTGTGGGTTGTCGTGTTTTTGTTTTTGTTTTAAGACACTTAAGTCAATGCAGCTAGTTCTGATATATAAGTTCTGATGTAAATTTCAATTATATGTTTAAGAACAAAATAAGTGGCTGCAGAATTCCCTGTTCTCTATGCTACTTTTAACGCTAGCTGGTAACTGGACCTTTGCCACTTGCCCCACCCCCTTCTTTAACTGAATGCTATGCTCCTTTTTTATGACTGGAGCTCTCTCCACACTGACCCCATTCACTTTTTTACATTCATTGAGCACCTTCTATAGATCAGACATCGACTAGGAGCTATGTTACAAACTGAAAAGCAGATGCCCATAAGAAAGAATGGCAAAATAGGGGATGGGCAGATATACAAATGGCCATATTTTGTCATTACAGGAGTCACGTTAGTAAATAAGATGCAGTTTTATTCTTACATATGCTTGCGAGGTTCAGGCAGATATTTACACTTGCATCACTTTTGGGGTCTGTCACTCGCTAAATGGTACTTGGGTTTTTTGTTTTGTTTTGTTTTTTTATATCTTCACAAAGGTTATCATAGGGAAAGTATTTAGTTCTTATAATTCATTTGAAAATGAACATAACAAATGAACAAAGAATAATGAACATAATGTATTAATAGTTATAATAATTTCTTATGATTGAATTTTATTCTTTTAGAATCAGATGGCATTTAAGAGATCATTTGTTATAGGAAGGAAACATAGTAAGAGGGAAGATTTGAGTTTATTAAATGCTTCTTGTACTATGTTCACTAACTTCCTGTTCGTTCTTGACTGCATTCATCCCTCTTGTTTGTAGAACAGGCTTGTGCAGAATAGAGCAACATATAAGTTTCATTAATTCTGCTGTGTTTTTAATGATGTTCACAAGCAAGAAGTCCACATTAAACTTTTAAATGCCTTAATTTTTAATTCATATTGGCAAATAAAAATTTTCTAAGAAAACTTAACCTATGTTTACTTTTATTTTCCTGAAGGAGATCATTGCCCACATCAACAAGGTAAAGACATTTTATTTATTTACTTATTTATTTATTTATTTATTTACTTACTTATTATTTATATGAAATGTTTGGACTGTCATCAGTTAATAATTAGAGGTTTCAAATGTACATTTCTATGACACATGATCTGTATACAGCATTGTTTGCCCAACACCTGAAGTCAGATCATCTTCTTTCACCATATATTTGGCCTCATTTGTCTTTATTACCCTCCAACCCTTTTCCCTCTGATAATGGGTTTCAGTTTTACATCCCAAAAAGGGGAGAGGGTAAACCTTTATATTTAAATGTAATGTTTTCTACATTTGATTTTCATAGATTTTACTACTTTTTTCATGTTTTTCTAGCAGAATGCTGAAAAGTTAGAAAATTACAAACAGCAGCAAAAAGAGGTAAGTTGTTCATGATGAGAATATTGTAAAAATCATTATAAAATATAATAATAATATTATTATTATAAAATATTTATAACTATTCTTAAAAATTATTATAAAATATAATACATATAAAAGATGTGCATATTCAGTCTATAGAATTATAATAAAATAAATATCAGTCTAAGAAACAAAAATCTGACAATATATTGCTAAGACATAAGTACATTTTTAAGCTCATAATCCACTTGAATAGACTAAATACTTAAGAATAATTATTGACTTGCTCACTTTACTAATGGAGAGTACCTGTTTTCCATAAATACACACTAGTAGATATATTTCCAGGCTGGAAACTAGGTTCACTTATTCTCAATATAGAAAGGTGATAAAAGAAATGGTAAACAAATATGGTAGTCCTATTTTGATAATTGATTAGCTGTATAACCTTGGCCCCAAGTTTTTCTGCCCTTTAATTTTTTCATCTATAAACTGAGACTATTAATAACTTCTTAGGTTGATGAGCAAGCACACAGTAAATACTCAATGATTTACATTAAAATTTTATGTTTATATGAACACTGATGAATACAAGCACTTCATTAAAGAATTTCTATTATACAGATGAGAGAAGTGAGATACAGAACACTGAATACACAATTATGTGACAATATCACAGAATTATTAGGTAGTAGAGCTTGATTAAAAATAAGATTTTCTTAGACTACAGAAAATTCTTTATTTAATTAAATTACATATATGGTAACATATTTATGTAATTTTAATATTTAGCTTCTCCGTTGTATTGATGGCTTGGGTTTGTTTGGAACTTATACCAAAATGAATTTATAAAATGATTCCTCTTTAAATACTTATAATAATGACTACTAAGGAAAGTAGTACAGAAGTTAGCTAGTGTTGGGTAACTCCTTCAATTAAACCACAAATTAATATTTCCTTTCCATTCATACACATAGAAGAAAACCTTAGAAATGTTCCTCTAAGTGTTTTTAAAATTAACCTTCATTGTACTAGTATGAACACAATTGGGTTTACTATTATCACATTATGTTGAAAAGTTCATGACTGCTGAGTATCAAACTGTACAGTTAGCTATGGTATTGAAGGCAATTCAGAGAGGAGAAACAGCCTTGAAAACCCTAAACATTTTATTGCAGTTTGATCTGGGTCCACCTATGAAGGGAGTGGGTTAGTGAGAAATCCCTCAGTGAGTATTTAACTCATCTTCACATGACCCCAAATAACTTCTTAATCAGGGCAAGTAAAATATTTTCTTTCTCTGTTTCACTCAGGATTCTTCAATAGAGAGGAGGTTAATTCATCATGAATGACAATTATAGCTGAATCTGGGACTTAAAATTTTTTATTTTTTTCCAGGATGAACGCCAGAACAAAATCCACGCTTTTGTCCAGCCACAGCCTCTTTTCTATCCTAATGCTGAGCCCATCCCTTACACTGTCCTTCCACAAAACATCCTGCCCCTTGCTCAGCCCGCTATGATGCTGCCTCTCCTTCAGCCTGAAGTGATGGAAGTCCCCAATACTGAGGAGACCATCATTCCTAAGCGCAATGTGATGCAGTTGCCTAAATCTCCAGTAATGCCATTTCTTCAGCGCCAGATCCCAAACCTCAATGATCTCAAAGCACAGCTCCCTCTGCCTCTGCTCCAGCCCTGGATGCCCCAGATCCCCCAGCTTGTTTTTCAGACTCCCATGCTTCCCACTCAGCCCCTGGCCACCCTTCCTCAGACCAAAGTCCTGCCTCTTACCCAACAAGTGCTGGCCCACCCCCAGAAAGCTATGCCTGCCCAAGCCCTTATGCTGAACCAAGAGCTTCTGGTTGACCCTACCCAGGCATTCTACCCTGTGGCTCAACCTATTGTCCCAGCTTACAACTTCCAACAAGTAAGTCCTACTTTATTAACTCTGTTGTTTCATTCATGATGTGTATATGATAGTAGAAGATGTGAGAGATCCAGAATAAAAGAATAAATGACTATTCAATGGTAAAAAAAAATACGTATAGTTTAGATCAGGGATTCTCAATGCTAGTTACACAGTAAAATAACCTAGAAAACATGTTTCCCCCTAAATATCAATGTGTAGGATTCAATGCAGATGTTCAGAAATAATTGTTCTGATTTTCTAAGTAGAAGGCAGTGAGTATTGAGAAGAAATACTTTCAGAGTGTGTGATTTAATCAATCTCTTGACAATGGAGACAAAGGGAATTAAGGCTTACTAAAGTCAGAATTAAACTTGGTAATCTGGATGTGTATTAAAAAAGATTTATTCTTTTATAGAGTCTTGAAGTTTCCTTGTGAACATCTATTCTCTACATGCTTTTATTCACATCTTGTTTTTTATGCATGCACATGAGAAAGCAAATAATTGAGATGATTATTTCATTACTTAGAATTTTTAGAAGGCGTGTACTTGTCAAAGGGTGAATTAAATTTATTTATCATGTGTTTTTTTTTAAGGCTTAAGAGGATTTCAAAATTAATGTTTACCCCTGACTTTTGGTAAGTTTTGGGAGTTTGGAGATTACACTGATTATGTTTATAGTTAACACATTTTTATATGTCATCGTCCTGGATAAGACAAAGGTAGTCAGAAATTCCATCAATATATGAACTTACTTGTTAATTATCAATGTGTTATGGATACCTAAACAGATATCTATGTACTCACCTGAAACTATGTATGTTTTGTATTTTAATTCATTTAAATTTTAATTTTGTGTTATTGACTGATTTGAATGGTTTAATTTCAAGTGCCTATGTTCTTATGCTTATCATCATTTTTAGAAGAAAACTAAAAGTTTCTTCTACTTTACTATAAATATGTTTGAACTCTTTTTAAAAATCAACTTGTGTTCTCATTTATATATGTTAAGCTCCATGAATTTTAATTGTTTATCGCATACAAAAATGTACATATTGCCTTTTAACTCATGTGTTAAAATAAAATTAAGAGTCTCACTGTGAGGATTAAGAGGGGGAAATTTTCTTAAAATACAACTTTTTTAGCAATTATGGTAGACTAGATATTAAAACAGTTGCAAGTTAAATGTTATTTGGTCCTTAGAAATTTTATATACAAGATAGAGCACATGGTGCATTTGTGATAAAATTTCTCTAATAAATTAGTTAATCCAAAATTATAAATAGAGAGATATGTATGGTTATTTACATAACGTAGCTAATCCTATATTTGTTTTCTATTTCACAGAATTGACTGTGACTGGAAATGTGACATCTTTTCAATCTTTGTATCATACTATAAAAAAGCAACAATTTTTAATGATTCTACATGGAAAAATGAAAATGTATTTCTTTATTTGATGTATTATATAGGATTTGTCCTAATTTGATTTTGACTCATAACCTCTATTTTCCAAACTTTAACTTGAAAAGTACCACAGAATTTTAATTTTCAGTTGGAAATGCCATAATTATATCTAAAATATATGTAAAATAGTTCTTGGAATTGTGCTTATTATTACTATTTCCTAACCAGTCATTTCAATAAATTAATATTGGATGCATATTTAAGTGTTTCTGTCTTTATTATAATTATTTAAAACCTAATTACCTCTTTAATGTTAACTTCAGATAATTATTGTTAAAAATAGCCTTGGAAGAATTGAAAATAAATAGAATGCGCTGAATTGAATATAGAAGATATCAAAAAATGGAGGAAAAGATAATCATACCCTATGTTCGCTCTAGAAAATCTTGTTTCACACCCATAGTCCCAGTTTAAATTATTACACCTATGCCTTTCACCTCAAAAGTACCCAGCATCAAATGTCAAATTTTATGGTCATCCTCCCGAAAAAAGGTTCAAATGTGAAATCTGATAGGTCTCCAACATAGCAGCTAGGTCTTGCTTTAAAAGTCACTTGCTCTTTTGGAGCTTCAACTTCCACATCTATATGAAAGCCATTCCAAGGTTTTCATTGAAGTTTTAATGTGATTAGTGCACTGCACAGTTTGTTAATGCACTGCAACAGGAAACATTCCTGCACCATATTAGTGAATTGACTTATACCAGAGCAGCAAGAGCCAATACCACAATCAGAATGAACTGGGTTATGTGGTTTTAGCCAGTAATGCCCAAGAATCAAAGACCTACAGGAAGTTACCTGGTTGGTGTGGTATGACTCAGTTGGTTGACATTGTCTTATATACCAGAAGGTGGCCTATTTGATTCCCAGTCAGGGGATATGCCCAGGCTGTGGGCTTGATCCCAGAGGGGTGGGGAGGGGGAGCGGGGACAAGCAGGAGGCAGTAGATTTGATGTTTCTCTCTCATGGATTTTTACATTCCTTTCTCCCTTCCTCTAAATCAATAGTAATAATAATAATAAGACCTATAAGAAGGTCTTATATTCATTGGCTCTGACTGTGGAGTAATCATTTTATTGTGATGAATTATTTCTCTACCAACTGCTGTACTGTACAAGTAAGTCCATTCACTTCAGTTTACACAATGATTCGCCATTAGCAAATACTCCCTCTTTGCTGCATTCTCAATGTTTTTCCTAACCTCCAGGATCAAGTGCAAACCAAATTTATGATATCCTAACTTTCATCTTTAATCAAAATACTTTCTCCCTTTAACAGTACACCTCCAAACCCCTATCATAGAAGTATTTATACTGCCTTTTTAAATATCTCTTATGTTATTCTCTCATCAATCTGTTCCCATCAAATTTTATTCTTACTGAAATCACTTATTTTTCCAAAGTCACCAACAATGTTCATCTTATAAATTGTGTTCATGTTAACCATCCTCTCAGTGCTATTTAGGAGACTTAATCATCTATTCTTTTTTGAAATATACTTCTCTCTATTTGAAATCCTAAACCTGTCAAACCCTTGGTTTCTTTATTAACTCACTAGCCATTTGTTTGCAGTATTCCTTCTGATATTTCCTTTTCCAAACCTTTTAGGGATGGAGTACCCAAGGAGTTAGCCTTAGTCTGGCTGATATTATTTACTTTCATGGCTTTAATCAATCCATAGTCTGAGAGCATCTCTATCTATCTATCTATCTATCTATCTATCTATCTATCTATCTATCTATCTTCTATCATCTATCTAAATCTTTAAACTTACGTCTCTTCTCATCTCCCAACTCATATATTCCACTTGCCTTCTTGCCCTCCATACTTGAGTAATTAATATAACAAACCTGGCTTGGCCAAGCATAACTCTTCACCTGGATCCAGTTTCTAACTTGCTTGAATTTAATTGAGAATATTTCTGTAGGAAAAACAACTGATACAATAGTATAATATATAGGGAATAGATTCAATTGAATGGGCACTTCACAAAAAAAGAGAATACATTAATGACACAATCATCAGAATGACTAAAATGGAAAAAAAAAGCCAGACCAAGTATTTCCAAATACAAACAAAAGGAATATTAAGAAATTCTGATGTAAGTGTAATGAGCAATAGCACTTTGAAAACCAGTGTCAGTCTTTTTCCAAGATAAACATTTGCCTATTTTATAACTAGTGGTTCCACTAGGGTATATAACAAATAGAAATTATATATATATATATATGCACTAAATATATGTACCCAATGTTCTTAGCTGTATTAGTCTTAATATTTTAAACTAAAATCAACACTAATGTGAATCCACAGTATTTCGTATAAATAAATTACACAGTGGGGTGGAGAATTACACTGCCACACAAACATGAATGACAGTAATCAGGTACAAAATATAACAGAATTCACAACCCCATAAATAGACTTATTGGAATTTATCAAATATTAATTTCTGTAGAAATAAGTTAGATGGGTTTGGGATTTCTCTGAGGGTAGATAGATCTCAATAAGGAACATGAGGGGGTGCAATCAGGTGCTAGTGGTAAGATATTATTGTCATGAACCTGGATGATGAATACTTTGTAATAATTTATTTTGATATGTGAGTTTTTCTCAATGCATGTTTGTTACTTTAAATAAAAATTTAAATGTATATTACATTTGAAATCATGTTCTTTTTTCTATAGTGTCATATCTACCTGCTTGTTCTTCCCTGCGAGGCCATACCAATGCAGAATCACCGCTTCACTTTTGAACTTGAATACAATTCACTCATAGGACTTATGACCTGATTTCCTCAGTAGCTGTGGGGTGGCTGGATAATGCTATTGCAAAATGCATGGTTTCAGCCTTTTTGGGGTGAATATGAAAAATAAGAAGTAAGATATAGGAGAAAACTTGCAGCTTAATTCTGCTTCATTTTCTTCTCTTTATATTCAGAGGTACAGTTTTTTGTGCAGCCTGTGTTAATTTTAAAATTATCTTTACATTTTTGATTGCTGAAAGGATTAAGAGGACTCAAACCATTTACGCTGTTGGAGCCACTTTATTGCAGACAATGAACAGAGTACAGCAACATTAGAAGATGTATAAGATTTAATTTTTTATTTCTACAGTTACTTAATTCTAGAAGCCCAGTGCACAACATTTTTGCACGGGTGGTGGAGGGGAGGGGGAGGGGAAGGAGCGGGCTGTAGGGAGTTGTCTCTCAGTCCAGCCTGCACTCTTTCAAATCTGGGAACCCTTGAGGGATGTTAGACCTCCCATTTAGGCCCGATCCTGGTGGGATCGGGCCTAAATGAGCAGTCAGACATCCCTCTCCCAATACAGGACTCCTGGCTCCCAACCAACTGCCTCTGCCCCTAACCACTTCTGCCTGATCACCCCCTTAACCATTCCCCTGCCAGCCTGGTCGACACCTAACCATTTCCCTGCCAGCCTGGTCGACACCTAAGTGCTCCCTAAATGGCTCAGTTGCCCCTAACTGACCTCCCTGCTGGCCTAATTGCCCACAACTGCTCTCCTCGGAAGGCCTGGTCTCTCCCAACTGTCCTATACTACAGGCCTGGGTCCCCTTCCTCTCCCCTCCCTCCCCCCAAACTGTCCTCCATTGCAGGCCTGGACCCAACCCACTGTCCTCCACTGCAGGCCTGGTTCCCCCAATTATACTCCACTGCAGGCCTGGGTCCCCCCCCTCCCAACTGCCCTCCCCTGTTGGCCTGGCCACCCCTAACTGCCCTCCCTGCTTGCCTGACCACCCACAACTCCCCTCCCCTGCAGGCCTGCTTCCCCCTCAACTGCCCTCCCTTGCTATCTTGGTCTTTCCCAACTGCCCTCCTATGTTGGCTTGGACACCCCTAACTGCTCACAACTGCCCTCCCCTGCAGGCCATCTTGTGGCAGCCATCTTGTGTCCACATGGGGGCAGCCATCTTTGACCACATGGGGTGCCCATCTTGTGTCTTGGAATGACAGTCTATTTTCATATTACTCTTTTATTAGGTAGGATACCTTAATATCTAAGAAGAAAAGTTTAATGACTCTTGGATGAAGAATTGAATATTTGTTGCAGTCCAGGAATATCATGCTACCACAATTCCTTATCCAAAGTGAGAGGTCCTTGATCCAATTATAGCCAA